GAAGTACACTTGAATGCATTGACCACTTCCTAAATATAACCCTAGAAGCACAGACAGTGGGAGAAACAATTAATAAATGGAACCTCCTGAAACTGAAAAGCTTCTGTAAAGCAAAGGACAGGTCAACAAGAGAAAAAGACAGCTTACAGAATGAGAAAAGATCTTCACTAACTCCACATCAGACTGAGGTCTGATTTCTAAAATATACAAAGAACTCAAGAAATTGGTCATCAAAAAAACAACAACAACAACAACAAAAAACCAAATAATCCAATAAAAAAATGGAGTACAGATCTAAACAGAGAACTCTCAATGGAGGAATCTAAAATGGCTGAAAGACACTTAAGAAAATGTTCAACATCCCTAGTCATCAGAGAAACGCAAATCAAAATAACTCTGAGGTTTCATCTTACACCTGTAAGAATGGCCAAGATCAAAAACACTGATGACTGATGACAACTTATGCTGGAGAGGTTGTGGGGAAAAGGGAACACTTCTGCACTGCTGGTGGGAATGCAAGCTGGTACAACCCCTTTGGATGTCAGTGTGGCGATTTCTCAGAAAATTAGGAAACAACCTTCCTCAGGACCCAGCAATACCACTTTTGGGTATATATCCAAAGGATGCTCAATTGTGGCACAAGGACATGTGCTCAATTGTGTTAATAGCAGCATTGTTTGCCATAGCCAGAACCTGGAAACAACCTAAATGATCGAAGAATGGATAAGGAAAATGTGGTACATTTACACAGCAGAAAAAAATGACATCTTGAATTTTGCAGAAAAAAGGATGGAGCTAGAAGACATTATTTTGAGTGATGTAACCCAGACGCAGAAAGATAATTATCACATGTACTCACTCATAGGTGGTTTTTAAACATAAAGCAAAGAAAACTACCCTATAAACCACAATCCCAAAGAACCTAGACAATAATTAGGACACTAAGAGAGACTTACATAGATCTAAACTACATGGGAAGTAGAAAAAGACAAGAACTCCTTAGTAAATTGGGAGCATAGGGACCTTGGGGGAGGGTTTACGGGGGAGGCGAGAGGCAGGGATGGGAGCAGAGAAAAATGTAAACCTTAATAAAAATCAATAAAAAATGCTATAATGTGGCATATGGTTTTAATGGCATATAAAAGGGAAATGCTCCCAATGTTCTTCTCACCTCTAAAATAGGGTCAACAATGGTACCTACAAGAGCTATGGGAGCATTAAATGAACAAGCATGCATGTCGACTGATTACTATAGTGGCTCTTCCAGGGTATGTATGTTGGTTGTTATTTCCTGTGTACATAGAGGAAGGAGCACTAACTGTGCCTGTGACAACGTCTCAAGATGAGTACTGGGAGTCTTGAAAGGTAGATTCATTAAACAGAGGCACTAGGGATTGGCATTATAGGTTAAAGGATAGAAACACTAAAAATTTGCTACGTTCTAGTAACATAGAATAGCATCTTGTAGGATACAGTACTTAGGGAGAATGGGAAAAAAAGTGGGAAACTATTAGTGAAGCAATCATTGTTTCACAGAATGGAGATGAATATATTGGGCTTGAGTGGTTGGTCCACCCACTGAGACAGTGTGTGAGACGGGAGCTCACCAAATCTTTGAATGGTATTATTTATAAAGTAATAAAAAATAAAAAAAGAATAAGTATAGTCTCATACCATGCAAACTATATGGAAGAACATTCTAGTAATTGAAAGAGCATATACAAAGATAAATTAAAATGCATATGGAATGTTGGGGAACTATGTGCTGTGACTCATGCCCTAATTCTAGGAGCTCCTCTCCTATTTGGAAGTCTCAAAAATGTCTGCCTACATTTGGTAGGTTGTAGGGTAGATTCTTTTTTTTTTTCACTTCATGAGTTTTTTTTTTAATTTTTTTTATTTTATTGAGAATAAGAAAAAAAAGTTTCCGCCTCCTCCCAGCCTCCCATTTCCCTCCCCCTCCCCCGATCTTCTCCCCCTCCCCCCGCTCTTCTCCCCTTCCCCCCGCTCTTCTCCCCCTCCCCCACTCCTCTCCCCCTCCCTCTCCTATCCAAAGAGCAGTCATGGTTCCCTGCCCTGTGGAAAGTCCAAGGTCCTCCCCCCTCCGTCCATGTCTAGGAAGGTGAACATCCAAACTGGCTAGGCTCCCATCAAGCCAGAACATGAAGTAGGATCAAAACCCCTTGCCATTGACCTTGGCTTCTCATCAGTCCTCATTGTTCGCCATGATGAGAGAGTCCGGTTTTATCCCATGCTGTTTCAGTCACAGTCCAGTTGGCTTTGGTGAGCTCCCAATAGATCAGCCCCACTGTCTCAGTGGGTGGGTGCAACCCCCGTGGTCCTGACATCCTTGCTCGTGTTCTGTAGGGTAGATTCTTGAAGTCAGTTTGAAAGAGGGTTTTGCAGGGAGGTAAAAACAGTACATATGATGTGTAGGGGATTGAAGCACAGAGACTTTCACTCAGTACAGACTCTGCACACTTACAATTGAGGTCTGAAAATTGGTTTTAAAAATAGAACATAAAACACCTTTTCCCATGAAGACCTCTATGACACTCTAAGGCACAAGAAGATCCATGTTGGTGCACATGGTAACAAATACTTATGAATAATTTGTTTGCTTCAATGTAAGGTGACAAAGTAGCATCACAGGTACAAAGGAAGGGGGAGTTCTTTCTCTATATTCATGGGAAACAATGCAGCCGAGGAAGACAGTGAATTCTGAGTACTGTCATGGTGGTGCTAACTGTGTGCACACAGAAGTCCCACCAGCAATACAGAGCTGAAAGCAGTGATGCTTGTGAAGACATTTGTGACAGAGAGATGATGGACATTTTTTTCTAGCAATGCTATCATAGAGAAATGTTGGAGAAGAAACACTATTTCTTTGCCTTTTTAGCTCCCATGACTGTGAACCTATGAATTAAATCAATAAAATGCAATAACACTAGAAATGGCACACAAATTTTATTAATATGTACATACACAGAAGTTCACAGGAAGAAAATGAAACTCTAAAATGTGGTTAGATTCAGGGGGCTTATATACTATCTTACTATAAGAAGGAGAGCTTGAACTTAAATGGATGATAAATTCGGGGGGGGGGAGAGATTAGGAAATGAATGAGGGATGGAGAAAGGAATGGATGCTGCAGACTACTTTAGCATGAATTTTCGTTTGATCTTGGTGTTGATTTCCTACCCTAAGGGATGACTCACTCTCTGTCCTTGAAATAGAGGAGAGGTTCCCTTCCTCAAAGGAAAATCTATGTCCAATTTTCAGGCAGTTATAAGTAGAATAGAAAAAATTTTCTGTAGCTATTGATTCTTAATTGTTATTAGCTCAAAGATAATCCTTGTGACAAAATGGCAGAGTTTTGAGAAGCATATTCTGAGCTTTTTTGAGTGTCAAAGCAAAGAGCAGGAAAAATGACTTAGCTCTTCTAGTGGACCTGGGTTTCTTTCCCAACATCCACATGGAGGCCCACAATCATCTGCAACTCCAGACCCAGGATATCCGACACTTTTTCTGAATTCCGCAGGCATCAGGCATGTACATGGTATGCAGACATACATACAGGGCAAATACTCATGTGCATAAAACAAATATAAAAAAGTCCTTTTAAAAAGAAGTAAAAGCAGGAAAGGTATAAAAAGGCAGACAATGTGTGGAAGGAGGCAGGTCTTCTCCGTAAGCCCATACGAGGTGGCCTTTACTGCTTTCTGGGAGTCATGGTGGAAGAAGTAAAAGTCCTTCAAGAGGAATTGACAGAAAAAGTCTACAAACATTGCCTACATATAGAACCATAAACTTGAAGGGCTGGTAGATATTTGGGTGTGAGTCATTATAGAAAGGGGATAATGCAAGATGGAGCCACAGAAGTCTAGTTTGACTTATTTGCATTTTCCTCAGTGCAAGTAGACTGATATTTTGATTCACAGTGTCATTCTAGAAGAAAGGAAGCTGAGTGAAAGGGGTGTGAGATAATAGAGATCTGATGGAACTAGGTAGATCTTGCTAAAAATGGTGTAAAAATGGTCTGCATCAAAAGCTGAATGTTCACCGAGGTTGTGGGTCAAGAGTTGTGAGTCCTGAGAGCAGCCTGGGATATGACTTCACTGCCCTGCATGAAACAGACTAACTCCCTTATTACCCATCTTTAATCTTGTCCTTCCTACAGTCTCTCTGCCTTCTGTGCTATGATATGGACAAATAGCTCCCCTATGCAAGATGAAATGGCTTTGACCCCATTTCTTTCTGCAGATGCTATCTTCATTGTTTTTTTTCACTCCACTAGAAAGTTTCCCCAGTGAGTTCTCTTGAGCTTCTAGCCATACTTCCTCACAGCGCCCTTCCACTTACCTCTGACAATCCCTTGCTCCAGTAACTTCAACTCTTCTCTTCTTACATGTTATCACCATCGTTACAGAGTTTCTGCCATGCCACTGAACATCTCAGCAGTGACTGACAATTTGCATTTCTCTCTTAAAATCCTCTCATATCCTGACTTCTGAATACCCTGTATTTCACTAGCATTGAGGATTTGAGGGAATTTGTTCCAGGTCAACACATAACAAAATCCTTACACTGATAACTAAAACAAGCTTTGCATAAAAGTGTTGTGAACAGCAGATCAAACTTGAAGTCCTCTTGAAGCCTAAGTAAGTGGTCCAAGAGGAAGTTAAACATCAATGGTTGCTCTAAGTGCCTTTCGCACCTTGAATATCCATGGTCATCAATGCATATTCAATGGACACTAGACTAATTATTTTATATGTACTGATTACATTAAACGTTACTGCAAGATTTCAGGCAAAGGACAATGGTATCGTTTTCATCCCATTTTCTAATTGAGAATACTGACAAATATAGAAATTATAGAGCTAGCTTAAGAATCTAGGTAGCCTTACTGCTAAGTTGACACTGCTAGCTACTTGAGAGTAGTATAACAAGATTGTCATTTGACTGGGTAATGTCAATCATATGATTTTCCTGTCATAACCTTTTTAAATTAAAATTTTATTAATTTAAAAATCCAGAAACACAGTGACTCCATAAATAAGTACCATACCTGGGTACATGTCCTGTGAGAAAAGCGAAAGGGTAACACTGTTACGTTACTCAGACTTGTTTACATGGGCTAACTTTAGAAAAATGGATAAAACTGCAAAATGGTGCCTCTGGTCTTTGCTGTCCCAAGTGTTTATGATACAAATAAATACCAAAAAAAGAACCATATCCATTCTTCCCTACTCACTACAGGCAGTTTGATCTCTCTCCGCATACCCTACACTCTACCCAACATCAAAACCTGGAGGGTTTCTACATCGAAATCCCCAGTTCCTGCTTCCCACAGCACTTTAGAAAGGTGTGTTGCTGCACCTGGAGGCAGGAGTCTATCTAGGGGAGCTCTTTAGGTGTTCCCTTGAGGCTAAGATTTCAGAGAACACCTGGGTGGGAAGGCTTTGGGGTGAATCATCGAGCAGGGGGAATCACCCCTTTCCTTCAGGATCTGGTTACAGATCTCCACACTCTGGAAATATGGTTCCCCCTCCCTTTCCCCCGAGAGGGAGGCAGCTGTGGATTGATACTTCTCCCATCACATTTTCAATGATGTTCTGTGGCTTTATAGCCCAGGAAGCTTATGTCCCACTTATGAGGAGAATGTGTATGACCAGCTGGCAAGAAATTTGTCTCATGAAGCCCTGGCCCCAAAGCCTAGTGTCTTTTTTTTTTTTTTGTGTGTGTGTGTGTGGAAACTGCCCCTTCTCTGCCAGGTTCCCATAAAGACCAGACCGTTTGCACATTTTTTCCTATCATGTTCTCTTGCCTAGTGTGGGAAATGCAGGGTTTCTAGGTCCTCGTATTGCTCATTCATGCTCCTGCAAGAGGACAGATCCAGAAGTCAGCCCTACGCTCCTTGTTAGGAATTATTTATAGTTTCTCCACAAAGAGGGTTTCTAAAGCCAAGCCTCAGAAAGCATAATTTATGCTATGGCATTGGGCTGCAAATAAACATTCCAGGAGCAGCCTTGTCAAAAATCCCAGATACAACCTATGCTTGTGGATAAGGCAAGGCTAGTGGGAAGGTTTAGGAGAAAGGTCTGTGTCAGAATTCTCAGTTCCCTGAATGAACAGTAACTCTCTCTTGACAGAAGAACCAATGTTCAGAAGCTCACAAGGACTGAGTCTCTTGATAAAGTCAAATTTCAACTCCTGTAGTCAGAGAAATAAGAGAGCCCTTAAAAACAGCTTTTAGAATAATTCAAAGTAAAGTGTTGTCTGGGTGACTATGGCCACAAGGAAATTAGCGAGCATTAGTTTATATGCTAGTTGAGTATTATAGCTGTGAAAGCAACAAAAAAGATGAACTACTTTGTTTTCATCAGGTGTATTCTTCTACAGCTATGAATCTTCTACAGTTATGTATTGCTTGGTATGAACTTAGTTTCTGACAATTTCACCAAGTTCTACCTTCCTAATGGAGGTTCAGTTCAAGAAAGAGAAGTGGTATTATCCGACATAGTGAATTTGGCACTTCAAAGTAAACAAGACCCTTAACTGGCATTCTTCACCCTTAAAGTCTTGAGGGCAGTCTTCTACATACATTTTGAATCTGTTTTCCTGGGTGCCAACAGCCCCAACAGTATTTAGGAGCCAGAAACAAGGGCAGCTTCATGTGTAGTCTGGGTGTCTTTTCGTACGTGCGTATATGAGATATGAGGATGATTTTTTTCAGTATTGAAAGTAGAGCCCAAGGCTCCATGTGTTAGGTGTGTGCTCTACAACTGACTGACCTGTAGTTCCGCCCACTGAATAAGTTCGTTTATTTAAAGAATGGAAGACACATGAGCATTCGAAAGACATTTCATACAAATGATTGCTCTATGTGACCCAACTTATACTGAACAATTTTCTTCTCTTCCTTTCACGTGACTAACTTTCTACACAGAATCCCTAAAAGTGTTTTCTTTTAACCTTCAAATAAAAGTGATTCTCAGAGAAACTAAAGCTGCACCAGAATGCTCTATCCCTTCTCCCTCCAGAAACCATTAAAGACTCCTCTATTCTCTTTAGAGGAGATGTTTGAGGGCTGGCACACCACTGCACATAGAGGAACAAGGTATGTTGTGGCTGGCGTGGATAATTTGACTGCGTCTGACTTTGGGGTTTTAGAGCGCTGTTGACTTAAGCAATGGAAGCCAGCAGTCCAGCTGCAGCTTGGGTTTCCTTAATTGATACTATCCAATCCTGACTGTTTTGTCTAACAGTGGCCCTTTTCAGGTCTCTCCAGGTACAAAACCTGGACCAAATCTTCCAGTTCTGTTCTGCACACCCGACTTGAACACATCTGGCTGAGCCGAGCTTCTCCTTCAGTGAAGATCTTCCACTGGTCTAAAAGGAAAACACAGAATGGTCAGGAGTGTGTAAGATCAGAGCTGAAGTAATTAGGAATACAACCAATATGCTTCATTCGTTTCCACATCCTTGTAGACCCCTGAGGGTATTTAAAATATGAATGGTAGGTGTCTTCAGCACAGAAGCACCCACTCAAACACATAAATACTTTTCTGAAGGTGGAGACAGAAAACACAACACAGAGTTTTTACTTCAATACATCACATTTGAAAGATCCTCCAAATGAGACACAATTGTTCTCCCACATGTAAATCTTATGTGCTTAGAAGTTTAGAAAACTTCCATTAAAGGAATTATTTGATTTTAAATGATGTGTTTGGGGAAATATATACACATGAGTGCAGGTACCCACAGAGGTCGGCAGTATCAGGCCTCCTGGAGCTGAAGTTCCAAGAAGTTGTGAATTACCCTGATGTGGGCACTGGGAACTGAACTCGAATCTTCTGGAAGAGTGGTATGCATTCTCAAGCAGTGAACCAATAATATGCACTCTCAACCACTGAACTCCATCGCCAGGGTTTAGAATTTTTATACTGTATTCAGCATTTGCAAAATATTCCACAGTCTGCTTGCTTGCTCTTCTTGGGGCTCACTTGGCACCAATTTAAAAAATACCCATCGACAGCAATATATACCGCATCACTGGACCACAGCTTGCTCTCTTAGCACCCCATGTAATCAAGTTTGGGATACTTGATTGCTTATCATTATTTGCTCTATTCCCTGTTTCCTTTGTCTACAACTGCTCACATTAATTTTTCCGCATGCTGTCCTTATGCATCAATGGCAGCCTGAAATTCCATCCTATGGCTCTTTATCGTGCTCCATTCTCACACTGGTTCACAGCCCTTTCCACTCTTAACTGGACTGAATCACTTCCATTGCCTATTGACTACCAATAGCCCCTCACATTTCTTTTTATTCCTATGTTCATGACATTGAAGTCTGGGGAGCTCTGAGCACAAGGTCAGGAAACTCCTTTTCACCCTAAACCTCCTTTGAACTTTTTTGGTTTCCCTACATAGTGCCCTCCCCTTTAGACCTGATCTCCCTGCTTCTTTTTGCTTTAAATTCCTCATGGTCTTCTATTCTTTATGCCACAGTATGAGGGTAGAAAAAAGGTGGGGAGAGATAACGCTTACCAAAGCATTATGGTGTGCCAGGCTATTGAGGGATATTATGTGAAGGGGTTGGGCTTCTTTCATTGTCCCCGTGTTACTCCACTGGATGATTTCACTCCTCACTTCCTTCAGCCATACAATGTTTGGGGCACATGATACCTAATTCCATTACTCATCCCCAGTCCTAGCTAGTATGGGCACAGCTTTGAAGTCCTCTAGAGCCGAGTACACTGTCGTGATACAAGATGAACTAAACTGTGTTCTGTGGTGAATTAGTAATTTCATTGATCCCTGGACCCTAGTCTCTGTCTCCTTTATTCCTGACTCTCTTGGAGGGATTCCCCAACTCCTGCATTCAGATTCATATGCTGAATTCATTTACTTTCTATTATTCTTTCAAAAGACATAAAAAAATACCTTACCAACACCATTTCTAGCTGGTTCTCAGGCATCCTGACCAAAGTACGTTCCAAGCAGACATCCTTTTGCATTAGCATCTGCTTAGCCTTGAGCTCTTCATTGACAAATGGCATTACTATTCATCCAATATACAAAGTTATTAATCCTGGAGTCACTCTAGACTAAGCCCCTCCACACACACTTCTATCTGTTGACTTAGACTTAGGAATGTCTCTCATGGTGTCCTAACCTCTTTTGTCTTGCAGATAGTATAGTGTGGGAACTTCCTAATTCAGATTCTCACCAGCTTTGTCAGTAATGGTGCACCGCACTCCTCACAGCAAGGCCCTCTTTCTAAAAGACAGATGTGAATACACCATTTACCTGCTTGCTTACCTCCGCTGTTGTGGTTTAGTCATAGTCTGGATTCATCAAGGTGAGTGCTTACTATAAGAAAGCCCAGATTGCTACACTGCTATTACTGTGCTGCTTGTATTGTGGAGCACCTCCCAATGTTGCTAGCTTAGCTTCTTCTAAGCCTTCCGACTGCTTCATAGCAACCCTTTTCATCTTCATTGTGCCCTATGTGGCCTTGGTGATCATTCCTCATCCCCACCCACATTTCTTGTTTGCTCCTGCCTGGATCTTCTCTTAGGCTGCACCCTCGCCCTGGACTGATTTCTTGACCTGTTGCCCAGTCACACCCTTTTCTTTTAAAAAGCGCCTCCTCCCCGAAGCCTTCCTCGACTAAGCCCACCTGGCTCTCAACTTATTGTTCTCTGCAGATTCCCCTGAGCACTTAGGCATTTAACTCCTCACAGCTCTTCTCATTCACAGTGAAGGCCCATTCATGTTCTGTCTCGCCCATTAGAAATTCTCTGGGGATAAAATTCGGGTGCCTTTTATTCCATTAGAAGTGCTCCCCACCCAGCCCCACCACAGTGCCCTGCAGTATCTAGTCCCTAAGCTCCATCTAGTGTGGAAAGTAGGAGAGTTGCAAGTCTATGTAGATGCCTGGATGCTTTCAAAGAAACATGAGCACCTAGTGGTAGTTTAAAAAGAGTCAGAGCGCTCTGCTATAACGCAGGATTGATATGCAGTCCATATTCTTGTTCTCTTCTTCATCCCCAGAGGGTATAGCCATACATATATGAAGACTTCACAATTATACCAGACCCGAAATCTTGGGACGCTTCCTTCAACTGCCTCGTGACTTGGGTTATCAGTTTCATAAGGGGCATTTAAGAAACTTTGACCTGAAATGGCTTGTATGTGGACTATGTATTCAGCTTGTATTCATCATGCTCGGGCTTTTCTAGTTTGTATTCAGACACCCTCCTTGTCCTTAGTCTTCCAAAAGAGAAAGAGCACATCCCCTAATGTTGAAACTGAGAGTCCTTTATGTTCACTGAGAAGAACTTCAAGTGTGGCAATACTACATTTGAAAGCTAGAGGCGATTTCCAGTTAAGAGCACTTACTTAAGGTGGTCCGAGTCACCAGCTTGAAATGATGGAGCTCCCCAAACATCCTCTTGGATATCTTCTCAATGTGAAAGTGCTGGAGAATGCCTAGGGCCAAGTGCAAAGTGGGACAGGTGATGAGACATTTTCTAGCTCTTCGTGGAACCATGTTCCCCCTTTTCTGCCCAGGCTAAACATATAATCTCATAACTGGGGCTTAGAGGTATTGAGCTGGGCTGTGAAATGTACTTAACCAGGAACTTGGATTGCTCAAAGATTTTAATTGACTCCATTTGTATTCTTGGCTCACTGGCTTCCCCCTTTAGTTTCTCCAGGGACTGGAGATAAGGGAGGTAGTACTTCTGACCATGGGCTCTCCTTAGAAAAGCGTTAAGTACTGGTTGGAGCTTCTGTAGCCAGAAGCCGTATTAGAAATTCTGCCTTTGGCCATAATTTTGATAGACTAATTCTTGACAAACCACTAGGCTGCCCTCCTGGCTAAACAATGAAAACCAGTAGTCGGATTGCAGGCATATTATATGTGCAAATAGAGAGGCTACCCCTATTCCTTAATTCACACAGAAGTTCAACGTTTCCTTTGGGAAATAGTCAGAATTCTTGCAGGTTTCTCTTAAAAACAAAACAAATAAGGGGGCTGGGGTTTTTATGCATTGGCCCACAGTTTCCGCCTCACCTAAACAGTTCTTACTAGAGGCAGGTAAATAACTGAATACTGCCAAGCAGTTAAGGGCAACATGTTACCAACTCACTTAAACCAGAGGTCAACGAGGAAGAAAGGAGATGAAGGCTGGGTTTTGCTGTGTCCAGGAAGCATAAACCTCGCTAAAAGCTCTATTGCATATAGAAGGCTGTTGATATATACTAGCAAACTGCAAGCTGTCCATGTACTTTAGTGGGGTGGGGTGAAGGATGTGTGGCTGGGTTCACTGCTTAAGAAACCAACATGCCAGTTCTTAGTCCGAGGTATGGAGTTAAAGACAGATAACTGACATGCCTAGATATAAAACCAAAATAAACATGGTTGAAAAGCATATCTGCAATCTAGCATACTTCCTAGTTGTGGGGGGGCATTCTTTAGTAAAAGCAAGGTTGTTGGGGAAACGAAGTGAGAAAAGATACAGTAAACAACTATAGCAGAATGTCTGAAACTGTGATCCAAATATTACTTGCATTAGCATCATGAGGTTATGTCTTATTCATGAAATGCTTATAATGTCAAGGCCTACGGAATGCTCATCTCTGGGGTAGGACTAGCTAGCAGCACATTAGTACAGCTCTGTGCATGATGCTGAAGCATATACATGTTTGAACACTGGTTATTATTGTTGCTATTTTGAGACAGGAACTCCCTGTGTAGCCCTGTCTGGCTGAGAACTTACTGAGTGTGTATAGGCACTTGGGTACCACAGTACATATTTGAGGGTTAGAGGAAAATTTACTTGGGATTGTGGGATTCAGTTCTCTGCTTCCACCATATGGGTCCCAGGGACTGAACTGAGATCATCAGGCTTGTCACCAAACTCCTTTACCTAGTGAGTCATCTCCTTGGCTCAAGCCCATAATCTTCTTAAAAGTAGGATGTTTAAAATTTATCAATATCCAGAGTACATGGTATAATTTCAGAGACATAGCTTCACACTGAAGGAAGGGAGTTTCCTGTTTTTTGAGCTTTCTATTGGGAATGGAGACTGCAGCTTATTAGTTTACAACATAGATCATAGATTTAGAACCATTTGGAGGATTTAAGGAAACATGCTGATTGGTTCACATGCCTGGCTCAGACTAACAAATTAGACTCTGGCGGTAGGGCTCAGGTATTTGAAATAAAAATCAAACCAAAACAAAACAAAAGGCAAGGTCTCAAGAGTTAATATTTGATCTTTATCACGGTCTGTGGTAAATTTGTAAACACTATCTCTGTGCTAGCAGCCTGCTGTTTCTCAGCAGAGGGATCGCTTTCGACCCAAGCTGATGCAAAATTAAGGTGAGTCGTCCCTTCTCTGTCTGACTTACAAACGCAAATTTAACGCTCTTTTGCTCACCCTTCCGAATGGTCCAAACGTGGACCTCTACTTGAGGTGGTCTCTCAGTCTCCAGTGCTATTTTTCTGGTAGTCTCTCCATCCTCCATGAACACCGACTCATAAACAGGCATGGTTTCTTCTCCACAAAAGTAACCTTTGCTGTCAAAGTTTTGGCTTGGAGGTTCTTCTGGAACCAGGAAGCAAGTAGAGTTTTGGCATTTTTTTTTTAAAACTAGAAGTAAACTTCTGCATTTAGCTATCTCACTGTTCAGAACTGCTGGCACTAAGCAGACGCAGACAATCAACCAGAACATGTTTTAGAGAGACACCGTTTCCAGATGTACTGTACTAGCAGCCACCAGAGCACCCAGACACATCTAAGCTCTCACGAGTCCACATGATCACAGAGTCATTGGCTCTGTAGGGCACACCCCAAACTGAACTGGGTCTCCCTACAACAGCCACTGAGAAATGAACTTTGATGAAAACAAAGACGAGTATAGCTAGGTTAAATCTCTTAGGTACTTAAGGGCACACTGACTTTTCCATACTAGGGCAGAATCATGTTCTGTTTAGCTCAATGGTGCTAAGAGAGGCCCAGGATATGAGCTGACAGAGGGCTTTGGTTAGCTTTTCTGACATCATTTCAGTCTACTTAGAAAACACTCATGACACTCATCTATGTGCATATACTTGCCCAATGGATCCATCCAAATTGGCTTGACATTTCTGAATGCTCTTTGATTTGTTTGTAAAAGGAATGATAATACCAGATCAACACCAGTGCCAAAATCTAGATGTCAGATTAGTCATGTGTATGCTATGCCAAACGAATGGTTGGGAGATACACACACACACACACACACACACACACACACACACACACACACACAAATTGGTTAGATCCACTGTCTGTGGATCATTTACTATGTATAGCAGGCCATTGGATTTCAGCTCCCAGGAATAAAGGTTCCAGTCCCATGATACTTGGCATTTCATACCATAGTCCCTTTGCCCAGGCCCCATATCAAAAAATGAGTGAGTTGTACCTTTCATAGCTTTATAATCAGCACCCCCTTGAGGTGTGTATTCAAAGTATATAACTCAAAAAAAATACTGAAGAGAATCTTTACACAGCCTGAAAAAAAATTCGAGACTATGCAGAAGTTATTTACAAGAATATCTAAACCATGATGGACAAATCCACAGAGGGCTGAATGTTGTGGAATCTGTGCTTCATACTGAGGAGAGTCACTGCTGTCCAATCAAACATATTGGACTGGACATTGTAATCAAATTGCTATTGTATGTCTATTTTGGACCTGATTATGTTTCCTCTCTACCTCTGCCTCCCACCATTTGGCTCTGCGAGGACAAAACCACCATTGTCTCTTGACAGTTCCAAGTTGGATCACTCATTTTGTGGATTATCCTAGAATCAAGCTTCTTTTCTCCCTTTGCCTTTCATTTTAGACATCTGATTACTTGACATGCCAGCCTTTTTATTATGATGTTAGGCAATTAAGGGCTGTGTGCTCACAGTTTTCACATGAGAAGAAGGAGGTCATGAAGCGTACAGGGACTTCTATGAATTCAATTGTCACCTCTACAAGGAGAGCTGAGTTTCTCACTAACCTAATGTTGGCTCTGAATGTAACTGACATATGAAACCCAACCGTTGATAGCACTAGAAGTACCTGTCATAGGCTCATAGTTCTCCCAGCATCCTAAAGAGTCATTCAGAAGCTCCTAAGTCATCCTAAGATCTGGACTTACACAACTGAAGAAATCCACAAACAAAACCCCATTAGTGACTCAGCCTTAGTTGAAACTGAAAGACACTAAAAAATATTGTTCTTAAAGGGCAGGGAACCCTGACTGCTCTTCAGACTGGAGAGGGAGGGGGAGAGGAGTGGAGGGAGGGGGAGAAGAGTGGGAGGAGGGGGAGGGAAAGGGGAGGCGGGGAGGAGTCAGAAATTTTTTTCAATAAAAAAATTATATTACAAAAAATAAAGGTGTGCTCACAACCATCTTGCAAGTTCCATCTCAAGGCACTTCACTGCCATGCCCACCTAGTCTCATTTCCTTTCGGGGACCCATGTCATAAGGGAAATCATTTGGGGCCATGTCCACTCCCCATAAGAAACTTATCCTGTGACCTCTAGAACTAAGAAACTTAGACACCATTACTGTGGGAGGTGGTGATGACAGATAAAGATGTGTTATCTCATCTCAGGAAGCTTTTAAAAGTCATAACAGGGGTATTTAATGACCAAATCCAAAAGAAGTGTGTAAGGAATTCCAGGTATTAGGGAAGTACCAGGGTATGTGAGGTGAGTTGGGGAATCTGTAGGTCCGTGTCTTAGCTAATTCCTTGGTGGGTGATGACATGTAAAGTAAGTTTGGCCTCTAGCAGAGCAATAAGAAGAGAAACAAGGAATCTGCATCCTTTATCTCAGCCTGCGTTTGTTATTGATGGAGCCTGCTCTTATTTGTTGTGATGAAACTTTTGGCTTGGTCAAAATAATTAATATTACTGTTCTATTTTCTTCCTTTGCTTTGTCCATTTTCCTCTAGGCTATGCACCATTATTTTAAGAGGCCACTGATGGTCTGACATTTCTATCTGTGGACCCTTTCAAGTCATCCAGGAGTCTATTCAAACATCACTGGCTACTGTTTTGAAAGTGTTTCATACACTGTTCACCATCTCTTGATCTTGCTCTTTTTGCTGTCACAGTCTCCATCACATGCTAAAATTAAATTCTTAATTTGAATTCACTGTACTTTGTCTTCACTACAATGCAAGCACCAGGCAGTAGCCTTTGGCCATCTTGTTTATCTCTCGTTCTTCTGTGTCAGTGTTTGCATGAAGTAGGTACTTAACATGCATCTTTAAGTTGATTGCAGGACACACTTACTGCTGTGCAGGTGCTGAATATATGGAGCAGGACACCCTGGGTCATGCAGACAGTGACTCTTGGGCAATATAACCCCTAAGAGTGATTTAAAATGCACACACTCAGGTCTGGCTCAGAGAGAGAAAAGTACATAGAATGAGATTGGAACGGTTTCTTTCCATGATGCCCAATGGATATACTATCTCAGCATATCTGATCAGGATGGAAAACAGTAAAAATAGCTCCTCCGAGGAAACTGGTTCAGTCAGTCAGATTCTTCAATATATTGACAATTGGGATTCTGGAGGGTGGTTTAAAAAACAACAACTTTTATTATGTTTTCAAATGATGAAAGTAATACATGTTTACTACTTAAAATTTAGAAAACACAAGTGAAAGCAGAAAATGGGAATATTTGGTAAGTCAGCTATCCAAAGATGATCTCTATAAACATTCTGTCATAGTCCCTTCCAGGCTTTCAAATATTTAAGCACACACAAACTTTCTCTTAACACAAGAAATTAAGTACGACACACATATTTTGGCAGCTTGCTCTTTTAAGTTAATATTTAAATGTCAGCAGTCTTGGTCTACGATGGTTTTAATAGCTACATAATATTCCACAGTGCAGTTATACCATAATTTAGCCGTCCCTTATTAGTGAGTGGTCTGATTGTTGTCAATTTTTCACCATTATAAATAACACTGCACCAAAAAGGCCTAGCTTCTATACCTTTATGTGTCTCCATTTACTTTCTCAGGGTAAGCCCACAGGTGGAGCTGCTTATCTGGATGCTCACAAAACACCACCAACCTGAGAAGGAAATTCTTTTTAAAGGCAATAAATTCTCTGTATCCCATTTTCTCCTTGTATTTGAAATCACCGGTGTGAGAAAATCCTAAGCACAGTGTGAAATGAGATTCTGTCTGAAAATCAAATCAAATCAGAAAACCTGATCTTCAGTATTTAGGTAACTATTAATTTTTGCCTAAGATTATCTTGTATTACCGGGAAAGTGTAAATGTTAGACTTTTAGCCAAAAAGAAGCACGTGTTGGGAGATTGCAACTGACATTAAGATTTGTGGATCAAATGAGACCCCAGCTTTGGAAGGGACTGTAAGTCACCATGTTTGGGTGGCCCTTATGTCTACATCCTTCTAGAACATGCTCCCTGCCTACCCCTAATAGTATTTCCTCCTGCACTTTAGTGTTCTGATGTCTACTCTTGGCTAGCTCTTGTCCTTTGTATCCACATCCTGTCTCTTTCACCATGGAAGATGAAGGGCATTATAGTTATCTTAAATTATTACTTCTTAAGCTTCAATAGAATCACTTGAGAATCTTAGCTGCAGAGTTGGTCTCAGGGCAGGCGGAGGCCTGGGAGTCAGCATTTATAATTAGCTCCTAGGTGCTGCTGGTAAGCAATCACATTTTAAAGGACAATACCATGAACCATTGTGAGCATGCATCAAATATTCTCAAACGTTTTTGCATATCAAAGGAGTCTGAGGCACTTATGAGTCCTAAGCCCAGGCCACAATCAAATCAATTAAGTCATTATCTCTGGATATGGGACACAGGTACTTTTGGAAATGCACTGGGGATTCCATTGTGCAGACAATTTCAGGAATCACAGACTCATTGAAAGATTCTCCTATACTTACACTGAATGCCTGTTTCCCTGCAAGGTAGGAGCAACTATTCAATGGAAGGGATAAATGTTGTATCCATCCCCATTTAAAAATGTGTTTTTATTTCCACTTGTGTTTACATTTTTTTCAGAAGGCCTAAGAAATGAAGAATTAATGTACCTGGGTATGGCTAATTCATTAATAGTGAAATACTGGGTTTGGAGGGTGGCGGTGATGGCTGTAGGAAGTCACTTACTGTAACCATATCATTTTGAATAAAAAGAAATAGAGGCTCAAAAAGTTGAAGGGACTTGCTGTAGATCATACGTGAAAACTGAAGCAGACCAAAGTTACAATGACAACATTATAGATGAGATATATTTTTTGATCTAGTTCATGTCTTAAAAATTGTCATTTGAACAATCTGCCATTTCAAAAATGATCAGCACCGTTTTCAAGTAGAAAAGACAGTGGGCTGGAAGTAACCTGGTTTGAAGGCCTTGACTGCATTATCCATTAGTTTCATGACTCTGAGAAAGCCAGTTTCTACACTTCACTGTTCTTGTCTTTAAAAGAGAAATAATATAATTATAGGATTTTAGTGTTGGAAGGTAGTGAAGGAGAGACAGAATTGGATAATAGATGCTAAAACACTATTAGAATGAATTATTTATATTTTTCTATAGCACAGTAGGGTTACCATAGTGAAACCAACTATGAGAAACTTCAAAGTGACTAGAAGAATCTGGGAAAAACATGAGAGGACATGGGATGATAATACCCTGATTTGGTAATCATACCTTGTAATATATGGTTTGAATTATCCTTCTGTACCCCATAAATATACACAGACACTATGTCTCAAAAATTAAAACATAAAATGCAAATAAAAATACAAAAATGAAGCACGGTGATAAACTGCTTTAATTTTTCACACGGGGCTGATGAGGCCCAGATACATATGGATCCAGTATATTTACAAGGTCATATAATGACCTTAGATTTGAGCCAGAACCCAATCTCCCTCCACTGTAACTCACACATCTCTCATCTGGAAAGAGTACTGGATTATGGCTGGAAGTGAATTAGTGATTTAAAAAATGAAGGTGTGGCTGTTTTCCTAAAACCGTGCTAACTTAGGAAAGCAAGAACAAGGTAAGTAATTTGGCACGTGTGTGAAGTTGTAGACACAAGAAACTCTCCAGAATAGGTCCAAGTAGTTAACTCCTTCAAAGCAACCATCAGTCTCTCAGAAGAGGAAAGAATGAAATTCATTCTTGCTAGAACTATTATCGTAAGATTTATAGAACAGGCCATTTGTGTTTCTGATGCACAAAGAACATTGAATAGTACTCTGTGTGGATCTCATTCAACCAAAGGCAGGGCCTCCAGCCAACGCACCTTTTGCCTTTTTACCTGGACACACCTTGCAGCACTTTCCATCTATTTTTTGAGGATACTTGCAGGGGTACCGATTGGGGCAGTGGATTTTCTTACATTCTTGCTTGGTGACATTGCAAGTGCAGAGCACACATTCCACAATGCCAAAGGCCCGTAGATTTGGGTGCCAGGACTCTCCATGAGAATAGGTCTTTCCATTGGAAACACACACTGAAAGAGAACACAGAGGCAGAGTGAAGACGGATTACTAGGCTCCATGAATTCTTTAAAATAGCAAACATCCTTTGTTCTGTCATGGCAAGGACACGCATTTGCAGAGGCTTTCCTTGCTGAAGGCTGTCACTGTTTAAGGTATCACTGTTTCAATGATAACGACCTTCAACAGGTATCCACATGCCTTAGCAACAGCCTCGGGATTCTAACGTAGAGTCTGAGGAAGAGTAGGCAATCTGCAAACAGTTTTTCAGTTGGGTGATGAGTGGATTCATGAAAGTGGGGCTCTATTTGTCTTGAACATCTGATGATCTCTAGGGGAGTGTAGTACTTTTAGTATCTTAAGTGGCACAGCGTGGTCTAAGTAGTTATCCTTCTGGGTATAACAATTTTCAAAAGAGATTTGTTATCTAGGAGAGTTAGATGCAAAACTAATTCTCTTTCCAAAGGACCAGTTTCATCTGTGTTCTGAATCACATCCATTCAGAATAGCAAATGTTACAAGAGTCTGACCTACCCATATAGATAGAGAGCCATTGCCTCTATGTTTTCTGAGAATTCTTGAAAGAGCTTATATTGGGACTACAGGTAGAGGAAACCTGCGAAGGAAAAGGGACAAAGAACATCCTTCCAGATATGTCAACCTTAAGCTAACTAGGCTACTACTGTACATCATGGAGTTAGGTTAGAGGTAGTCTTGTGGATGGAGAGGTCTGAGAGGAATGTTCTCCATATCTGAAGGGCTAAGATTGTGGATATTTCAAGCCATAAATGGGCCTGGGTGTGGCTTTCATGATTTCTACCACTTCATCATACCCAAGAAGACCTGTCGGCATCTTAATCAACGTTATCTCTAGGGTAGGGTGTATCTCTTTGGGCAGGGCTGGGGGGGAGACATATTCCCACTTGGGGCGTTTCTAGGAATTGACTGATTTGGCTGCAGCACAGACTCAGGATGAATCATTAGGCTATTTCTTTCTCATCAAGTCCACTGGGTCACATTAAAGAATATGAAAGATGTTGGCTGTCTTTTATTGTCTTTTGCAAGAACTGCTTGAGTACTGGGCCCTCTAACAGGTCAGTCTGTGTAAAGATTTCCAAGAAACTAACCTGGAGAAGATCCCAGTGCACAGAGAGTTTCAGTAGATACCTAAAGCGTGAGGCTCGGGGGCTATGAACAGAACCACAGAAATCAGGCAGGATGTGTTTCTCTTTTACCTACCCTTTCTCTCTTCCCAACACAGTAACACTGTTTTCTAGACTATTTGAACAAGTGGGTACAGAGTTGGCTTCAAGAACATTTTGACAGGATTCAAGTTTAAAATGTAGGGTGTCCTGTTGCTTTTCTTCTGTGATTTTTAACAAAGATATGAGTGTATATACCAGAGGGGACCCTGTCACTATGAAGAGAACTCGGGAGAAAGGTGATTCATACTCAGGGAAAATAAGGCAGGAAGCACTACCCAAGCTAAGCTTCGTCTTCCTTCTGACTAAGCAGTGGAATAAAATGTAGCTTTTATCCCAATCTTCCTGGGGTGCACCCACCCACTGAATCAGTGGGGGCTGATCTATTGGGAGCTCACCAAGGCCAGCTAGACTGTGACTGAAAAAGTATGGGATAAAACTGGACTCTCTGATCATGGCGAACAATGAGGACTGATGAGAAGCCAAGGTCAATGCCAAGGGGTTTTGACCCTACTTCATGTTCCGGCTTGGTGGGAGCCTAGCCAGGTTGGATGTTCACCTTCCTAGACATGGACGGAGGGGGGAGGACCTTGGACTTTCCACAGGGCAGGGAACCATGACTGCTCTTCGGATTGGAGAGGGAGGGGGAGAGGAGTGGGAGGAGGGGGGAGAAGAGTGGGGGGAGGGGGAGAAGAGTGGGGGAAATGGGAGGCTGGGAGGAGGCGGAAACTTCTTTTTCTTATTCTCAATAAAAAAAGGAAAAAAAAAATGTAGCTTTTAGAAGGGAAGACAGCCTCCTCCCACCAACAAAATTCCAAAAGATGATTTTGAATCATCCAGCTGGGGTTTGGGCGTTAAGGTGAAGACAAGAGATTCTTCAGTGAACTCTAAAAGAAAGGTCAAAAGAGAAGGGATGTATCCAGATAAACATGGCAGATGAAGAACTATGAAGTAGCCAAGGATTTTCTAAGGCACTGAGGCAGCAGTGCGATGAGCCTCTGCTGTGAAAAATGAACAGTTCTCAGGGAAAATATGGTATTAGGGCTTTTGAAGTCTATTTTTGTCCTCAATCATTTTTTAGGGCTTTGTAATTCTTCCACAGCAAATGGAATCTATTGGGGGTAATTTAGGACTGAGAAACCCAACTGTATCTTTACCTAACTCTTCTTTCTTGAAGCTGTATCAAAAAGCTTAAGAACTTAAAAGCCATAAATTTCAAATCATACGCAGATCAATAATACATATTTCTAACGATTTTAATAAGCATAGTTTTATTAAATTGCATTTAGAGTTTTCTCTTGAGCCTGTAGATTTTTAAAAGTGATGTTTTTATGTATAATCTGAAATTTACATGTAATTAGTAACAGATGTGATGAACTAGCTTTGGCTTGACCAGCTCTGTGGAGATTTATCCTAGGAGTTCTTTGTAATGGGGATTGTTTTTCACCAATGTTATTCATTCATTTGGTTTAATAATTTACTTTTATCCTGTTCAAAGAATTGCCTTTTGATTTATTTTCTCTCTAAAGGAAACAAAACATGCTTGTGGTTATATAAAAAGAAACCAGTTGAGCTTTTATTCCAAAGAACTGATTGACAGGATACCCAACAAATGAAGCACCAGTCAATATTGTGCTTTTCTCCTCCTTCCATCTCTGCTACTGGAGTTGGGGCAGTGGATACCAGAGAAGAGAAAATTGGACCAATGAACGTATACGGCTGCTTATGCCACCAAACTCATGGTAGAGTGTACTACCTGCTCAGTGGTTCTGGTTCTCAGCCAGGTGATGTCTGGATCTGTTGATGGCTCACACAAATGGAAGGATGATCTCCTCATTTACTACATACTGAATCCAAATCTCTAAGATTGGAGTCAGGAATATTTAACAAGAGTCCCAGGAGAAAGCCTTTTTTAATACTTACCTACTGAGAAGATCTTTAGAAGTGTTAGACACCAAATACCTTTGACTGTTGGGTGCCCTGCTTATTAAAGATAAGTGGATTTTCCCAAATGAGCTCCAACTCCTACAGGCAACAGAGAAAGTGCTGAGGTTGCTTCCTAAGCACAACGAGTACTTATGTATACTTTTCTGGGTGCAATTGTGAAAAGTCCTACAAGTCCTCTCTAGTCACTTGTTCATAGCCCCTTTGAAGACTTCACATTCAGTGGCCTACATGTGAGTATTCACAATTTCTGGGAAAAAGGGTCCTGTTTCAAGTTCGGTCTCTAAAGATCAGGCATGCTGAGGATGATGGCCTTTACCTTGTCCATGTTTGTGCTTGTTATTGATGACAATCTGCACGATGGTCCCTGATGCTTGCTGGGAATCCATAAGAGTTCCCCGGTGACTTCTTCCCCCAGGAAAGCGAGGAGAACCTCCAGCTTGTCTGCTTGGTGAAGGATCATAGGGAGAACGGAGATAAGAATGTCTCTGTAAATGACAAGAAAAAAAAATCAGTCCAAAACAAATATCGACAATAAGACGGCAGGACTTGACTTATATACATCAGCAGCTTTTTAGTGAAGAACTCCATTCTTAACTGTATGGCTTCCTAAATCAACAAAGGTGAGGCTGTGACAGCAAGAAAGCAGCACTGGCAATTTGCTGAGCTTTCCCTCTCTCCTTGTGGACTCGACTAGATTTGCAGAGAAACTCGCGAGGCAGAAAACAGCACCAAAGGGTAAAGCGCCTTCTTGCTAAGAGACTCATATTTCCCAGTTTAAGAGTTAGTCTGCAACACAAGGCAAAAGGTAACAGGTCACAGGAAAAGTCCAAAGCGGTGTTTGAATTACGAGGAGAGATGCTTGTTGGGGAGGGTTTGTGACCTGGGTCACGAACAGTGGGTAGACTTTTTTTTTTAATAGACAGTTTGTGGGGAATATTCCAGGCAGAAGTTTCCAAATTGAGAAGGTGTAGCAGAGAACATAGAGTCCTTAAAAGGGAAGAGTTGAAGGATAACATTCCAAAAGGGGGTTGGAGCCAGATCATGGAGGACTTTAAATGACAAGCTAAGGGGTAAGTACTTTATTTGGTAAATGATAGAGATGGGAGTATGGAAGCCTTTGAGGGATTTTTTTTTTTAAGTAGAGAAGTGGCTTAATCAAGAGTTTGTTTCAAAGCACTAAACCCTCGTATGTGTTAGTGAATTGGAGAAGAGGAAAAGGTGGAGGACAAGCAGGGTCCCGAGAATGTATACTGAGAGTGTAAACACAGGCTGTGAAAGAAGATCACACAGCAGAGCACCTCACTGATGCATGACAGTGGCGTGATGCAAGTTCTACAGAGTCGAAGGCTTGTTTTGTTCACTGCTCTATCTTCAGTGCCTAGACCAATGTGCAATACCTAGACTGTACTCACCCCTAACTGTTGAGTGAAATAAAGTAGTTTCCCACTCTTATGGTACTAACAAAGCAACCAGCGTTGTTTCTTCAAGAGATTGGGGCAATGACAAGCCCAACTGTTCTTCTCCTTCTCCTTCCCTAAAGCTGAGGTAGAGTGCAGGTAGAAAGGGATGGCGTGAATAAGAATGAAACCTTAGGGATTAGAGCATTAACATGCACTGATTTAGGGACACTGGTTATGGGTAGAGAAGGGAAAGCCCATGGAAAGATTTCACAGGCAGTTAAAAAGGAAGATCCTTAATCTCACTGATGGAGATAACAGACAGACTGAGATAGGGTATCCTCGACACAACTTACCATAAGACAAATTTATACTGCTATGTGTCATAAGCACATCTTTTGAAAAAAAAAATGCTTTGGGAGAAGGGGAAAGTGAACAGAAACTGGAATAAAAGAACTCTCTTTGACTTCTGACATAAAACATTATTCTCTGTATCTAAGAGCCCCACTCTGGCACATGGCCATAACAATTCATAAAAACAAGAATTTGCTCCAATTTGTTATCATGCACATGGATGGGATTCCCAGGGCAAATACTTCTCATTCCCATAATGGTCAATATGTCTCTTTCTGAAATAATCGGTCACATTCCACAAAGGCCATTACAAGCTGTTCTTTCCTGCCTGTTGTTGGACAACACTTTGCCAAAGCAACACAGAGAAGAAAGTTTGCCTGGTGGGTGTCCTGCTGCTGCTGAAAGAAAGGTGTTCAACAATACAATTAAAGAGGGTCAGTGACCTTGGAAAAGTTGCAACTACATTATGTTCTCTGATTCACAATGGGGAGCACAAAATGCTAAACTCCGCTGTAGCACTGAGGGGGTCGTATGGGCAGTGGTTTCAAACCAAGAACAAAAACAGAAGCATCAGAGATTTTGAGCAGAGGATCTTTTGTAGACTGCTTGGCCCCACTCATTCATCTTAAGTCTGATATGTCCCCACGGTCTTGTCTGTTTGAATACTTGGCCCTTGGCTGGTGCTACAGGCTATGGAACCTTTGAGATGTGAAATCTATCTGGTCGAGATGGGTCACTGGACGTGGTCCTCTGAGACTTTCCCCCCCCCCCGCCCCCGTTTCAGTCTGGTTCTCTACATCTTGGTCCAGCCACATCATGTGAAGAGCTCCGATGATTGCTCCTGAGACTACAATTCATCCATTCCTGCCACTGTGCCTCCTTTGTCACAATGGGCTAATACCTCCTGAAACTGTGTGTCAAATAATCTTTCTTCCTAAGTAGCTTCTGTCAGCTCTTTGTCACAGCGTAAAGAGTAGCCACTAATACATCATGTCAGATTTTGGCTTTGCAGGTAGAGAAGCTGAAGAAAGGGAACGTATTCATTTGAGGCAGGAACTGATGAGGCCATGGAGGGGAGCTGCTTACTGGCTTGCTCCTCATGACTTACTCAGCCTGCTTTCTCAAAGAACCCAGGACCACCAGGCCAGAAAATGTACCACCCACAATGGGGCTTCCCCTCCTTGGACCACTAATTAAGAAAATGCCCTATGGGCTTGCCTATAGCCCAGTGATAAATGATCAATCCACCTTAGAACAAAGGAAGATATTTATTTATAATAAAGTGGAACCATCTGGCCATTGTGGTCTACCAGTCCCAACCGTTTGCTCTTCTTGCTACAATCCTAGATTAAGTCATCCCTTATGGATGTTAGGAGGAATAATGAGGCTGAAAGGCAAGATATGGGGCTTCTGAGGAGCATAAATGGAAGAAAAGAAGGAAAGCAAATGATACCATTCACCAGCAAGCCCACTGAAGTGGTCTCGGAGCTTACTGTGGAAGCTTAACAGCATAACGTGACTGGAGCTGACGGTCTGAATGACATCTTAGCTGACAGCAACTAATGCAATTGCTCTCAAATTCTTACATAAACAAAAAACTGGGTTGAAGGAAAGAGGCAACTCCCAACACGGAAAACTGAGACTGCTACCGTGCCTTGTTAGGATCTTTATACAATCTCACTCTAGATTAGACAGAGTGGAAAGGGGAAAATCTTTCCCTAATTGTGGAAATTCAATCTCTCTGGTGGAGTAAATGTTGCTTTTGTTAGATGCCCAAAGCATTGCTTTCCACCTTGTCCACAATTCTGCACTAGTTCCAAAGGAGCAGTGTTAAGAAAGCAATACTGTCAAGTAGAAAAGCAAACGGGTACTATATACTACCACTGCTGAAGCTTTGGTATGGTGCTGGCAAAATGGAGTGTGCAAGTCAAAACTAGTCACCATGATGACAGTGAATGCCAGCCCAAGTGACACTGTGATGTTTGCATCTGTCATTCAATAGCAAAGCCTGTGAACTCTGTCATCATGCCCTCTCTATTTATGAAAAGAGCTGCTCTATAATCACCCACTCTCCTGATTTATTTCCAGTTTCTAAGGTCTGATAAAATCACCTAATTTTATTTATTATTAAACTAACTCATATCATGGAAAAACATGAAATAGCACAGAAGATTAAGTAAGGAGGGCAAAGTCTACTTTTCCTCATGGTTACTTCTGTCCTTCTCTTACTATTCTTATCATGTTGATATATGACTTTTAAGATAGTTTTTATTTATACATTTGTAAAAGCACATACACATTTTATATTTGTTTTATTATATTTTTGAGTTTTTCTGTTTTGCTACATTTAAGTACAATTTTACTTTTAAAAATTATTACTTTATTTGCTCTGTGTGTGTGTGTTAGAGAGAGAGAGACAGAGACAGAGACAGAGAAAGAGAGAGAGAAAACAAGTACAGTGGTATGGATGCTTGTGTGTGAAGGTCAGAGGAAATCTTGAGTTGGTCCTCTCCATTCACCATGTGGGTCCTTGATATAGAACCCAAGCTTGACGGCCAAGTGCCCGCTGAGCCATCTTGTCAACCATGTTATATTCTTATTAATAACTTTCACAGTATTCTAATGATTGGGTATATATAGCCAAACCTATATTTATACATATTTATGTTAATTTGTTAAATATATATGAAAACAATGCTACAGTGACATTTTAAAAATAGTTCAGCAGGTACATTGAACACCTGTTTGTGTGTGATGACAAACACCTTGGAACTTGTAAACACTTTTATAAGTCCCTAGATGTGACCTGGAACTTGCTCTGTAGACCAGGCTGGCCTTGAACTCACAGAGATCCACCTGCCTCTGCCTTCTGAGTGCTGGGATTAAAGGTGTGGGCCACTGTCACCTGGCTTTCTTTTCAAATTTTAAGAAGTTTGAAGAATATCTCTTCTTAGGCATTCATTCTTAGAGATGTTAATTGATTAAATGTACACACCCACAATACACATATTCCTACTTGTCAGGCTTTTTCTAAGATTTGTGCTAACAACAGAAATAAGGGTAATGGTAGGAGACTCTGGCCCACAATCTCTGTTTTTCTTTCAACTGCTTGACCAAGAACCCTCAGGTTTATAAGAAATCTGACTAAAAGGATGAAGTGGATTATATTAAAATCCCATAGAAATCATTCACTCTTGAGAATATGGGTGGTGACTGTATTCCTTAGAGAGAACACACAGAATTGTCAGTCATCTGAAGAGAGCATCTACTTCTGATCTAGACAAAATCCTATGGATGCTCTTTGTTCATGTTCTTGCCCTAATTACAAATGATAAATGTTTAGAGGTCAGTGAAGACATCATTTGATTTTTTTTTTGAGGAAGGAGAAGAAAGTGATGTTAGAAATGGGTCCATTTTTTGGATTCGATGGAGACTTTTTTCCATGGGGGAAAAAGCTTGGCTTGCTGCTGTAGAGTGTGGAAATATTGGAGCTCTTCACACTTACTGCTTCTCTGTTGGCAGGTTGCCGGAAGATATCACCATCAGAATGTTCCCACGACAATTCTCCATCCCCTGTTTATTAAAAAGACATAAGAAAGAATCAAACATACATATAAGGGAAAACTATCACCCTTTTGACCCAGCCACATTTTTGAAATTATGTTTCTAAAGTTCTCAAGGCATTTTAGCTCTTGTGGCTACCCTTCAAGAAATAGCACTGAAAGATTTCTCTGGGTGGGTCTCATGATTTAAAACAACTCAAAGTAAATTTATCATTTTTTAAAATAGATCAACTGGTAACATTATCCAGAATTTGGAGTATAAAAGGGAAAATAATTGATTTTCTCTTTAATACAGCCATCATCACTTTGGTTTATTTTATTAGTGACAGTTAAGTATTTTACAGATCGTATTTAACATGTGTTTATACTACCCTTAAACAATGAATTTTGAAGTTTTCATTGGTCAAGTCTTAAGTTAGGCATTATGTCTATGAGAAGTCATGAACTGATTTAAAAGTAAAAGTTAAACTTGCTATGATTATAGTATTTATGCAAGAAATATCCAAGATGCTGTCTTTTTATTTTTCTCTTATTGCTTCATAAATTCACCTAAGTGCTCTATTTTCAATGATTGGTTCCACTCCTCCTTTCCCCTCTAATTTTTCTCATGTCCCTCCTCATTCACTCTCAAATTCACGAACTCTTCTTTAGTTATTATTATATATATATATACACACACAGGTATATAGATATAGAAAAATCTAAAATTCATATGGAAGCCAAAGCAATCTTAAATAAAAAGAATAATGCTTAAGGGGATTACCATGACACAATTCAACTTATATTACAGAACTATAATAATAAAACAGCACAGTACTTTAATTTTCAAAAGTCTTTAATTTTGATCTGACACATCTTTCTCTAGATCAGTAGTTTTCAACTTGTGAGTCTTCACCCCTTTGGGAGTTGAATGACTCCTTCACAAAAGTTGCTTAAGATCATTAGATATTTGCATTACTATTCATAACAGTAGCAAAGTTACAGTTATGAAGTAGCAACAAAAATCATTTTGTGGTTGGGAGCCATCACAAGATGAACTGTTTTAAAGAGTTGCAGCATTAGGCAGGTTGGGAACCACTGCTCTATGTCTATATGATCCATTATTTGGGCAGTAAAACACCTATTTCTGAAGTCTTCAAGAACAGCTGCTGAGGCAGAAGTAGGCCTGAGTCAGAGACCTCTATGGATCAGGCATAAGTCAGCGACCTCTGAGGTAGTAGGCCTGAGCCAGCAACCTCTGCCAGAGCTGGCCTGAACCAGCAATCTCTACCAGAACAGGCCTGAGGCAGCAACCCCTACAGGATCAGGTACAAGCGAGCAACCACTGGGTGAGCAGGCTTAATCCAGAGACCTCTGTGGGTCCAGGCACAATTCAGGGACCTCCAAGGAAGCAGGACTGTGCTAGAGAATTCTGCAGGACAGAGCCCAAGTCAGGGACCTCTGCAGGAGCAGGCCCAGGCCAGGACATCTACAGAAACAGGCCTGAGCCAGCCATCTCCACCAGAGCAGGCCTAAGCCAGCAACACCCACTGGAGCAGGCCCAAGCCAGCGATCTCCACTGCAGCAGGCCTGAGCCAGTGACCTCTACCAGAGCAGGTCCAACGCAGTGACCTCAGTGGAAGCAAGCCCAAGCAAGCAACCTCCATGGGAACAGGCCCGAATGACCGCCAGTATTGCAGAGTGACCCCAGGGAGTGCTGAGCAAGCTCCAGGAACACCAAATAACCTCCAGGGTGACTGGAAGTGTGGCCCTGACTGCATCATGAGGTGCAACCATTTGAGCCTTGGATCCACTGGCACCTGGAAAATTGATCACCAGAGACACAGCTCCAACTACACCAATCAGGAAAAGATGGGTAGACAAGGTAAGAACACACTCAATACCACAAAGAGAAACCCAACACCAATAAAAACTAGTGGCTCTACAATAGCAAGAAATGGACAATCAAATATAGATGAAGAAGAAGAGAATGACCTAAAAATAACTATAGGAGAATATTTGAGGCTCAAAGAGGAAATGAAAAATTCCATCAAAGAAATGGAGGAAAAGATAAATAAAAAATTGGAAGAAATCAACAAATCCCTTAAAGAAAACCAAGAAAAAGCAATCAAACAGGTGAAAGAAACCATTAAAGACTTGAAAACCAAAACAGAGACAATAAAGAAAACACAAACCGAGGGAATTATAGAAATGGAAATTATGAGAAAACAATCAGGAACAGCAGAATACAAGAGATGGAAGACAGAATAGCTGCTGCTTCGTTCTAAGACAGGGTCTTGCTATATAGTTGTGGCTAACCCGAAACTCACTATGTAGCCCATGTTGTTCTGGAGCTCATGCTCCTTCCTTCTGAATTAAGTTGGCATTACAGCTCTGCATCACCACACCCAACTCAGAGTAACTGATTCTTACAGAAGGATTTCATGTCAAGGTTTTGGGAGGCTTAAGCATATAAAAGATAAGGGTATTCATAAGGTGATTGAAAACAAAAACAAATTGGGTAATTTTTAAGAAGCTTTGGTTACCTATGACTCTATGAGGATATATGTAGATATGTGTGTGCAGTATATATATGTATATGTACATATATATATATATATATATATATATATATATATATATTAGATATTGAGTGGGCTAACATAGAACATGGAATAATAGAAAAAAAATCTGTTATAATTTGTCTCCCAAGTTTCAAAAACCTAGAAACTAAATAGTAACATTTTAACTGTTTCAGATATATGTTAGTACTGTTGGGGAAATTTATGTAATTTTTTAGAACTTGAAAAAGCTTGAAAATTAGTTTGATAGCCTTCTGGCTTAGCCCCACACTTCTAGGATTATAGGCTGAAGCTACAGTGCCTAGCTCATTTACTTAGTTCTGATTGCCTAAAGGACAGTATTCTACACTGTTTGAAATGCAGAGAACTTGAGACATAATTTTGTCCAAGTGTTACATGGAACACATGGGAAACCAAAGCTCAGAAAGTAGAAGCTATTCATAGTTAAACAATGTTCATAGAAATTAACACCCAAATTGCAGGCCCATAGATTCCTGAATCATTATGTTAATCTTATAAGAGCATGGTTTACTCTTTGTTATTTGTGACTGCATTGCCATCAAATAATGGAACCGGGAAACCTCTGACAACCCTGGTATTTCTTTTCCTCTCTTTTTTCCTAAGTACCTACAAGTGTGTTGTATTTTTAATATTTTGTTCTTTTTCTGTTTTCTACCATTATAATTCCACCATGAAAATCAAGATTTTTATCTATCCTGGTTTTTGATGTAATAATACCACTGGCAATAGCAATTGGCACATAGTATTTATTCAGCATTTACTACACAAGTGAATAACAAAGCATTATAAATATTTTCCACTGCTAAATGTTTCTTGGTCCTTTGTGGACAAACCATAAATTTCTTAAAATGAGAAGTTATTCCTTACACTATCTTTATTTCTTCTTGGTCACTACTTTCCAAAGTGTGGTCCTTGTCATAATCTGGGAATTTGTTAGACACCAAAAAGTTTGGACCCCATCCCAGACCTACTGAATCAGAAACTATGGGATAAGCGCCAATAATTTAGGTTTTGATGAGCTTTTCAATAGAGTTGGATGCATACAGAAATTTAAAAATAGCTGGGCTGGAACAGCTGGTATATTGCTGGGTACATATCAGTGGCTTAATATGTCACTGAACTAAACTGCAGTAAAAAAAAAAAAAAAACTAAATGTGTGGCTGGAAGAACAGTTTTCTTTCTGTGTGGGTACAGATGATAGGCAAAGACTAAATGAAGACCCATGTGGAAACTCTGGCTACAGTGAAAGTTGGCTATGATAGAAAATAATGCTGAAGAGTCAAATAACAAGCCTTGAATACTGCATAAGTGGAAAGATTGAAGCTAT